TCTAGTATGGAATTCAGCCCCTGAGTTAGGTACCTGATCTCCCTATAAATTGAAAAGAGGTTCCTGAGAAAGCTGTCCTAAACAACCTGTACAGCTACAATCAGCTAATGAAAAGGACAGTGTTCTCAAAACCTTGCTTTTCACTAAGGATTAAACACATTAAATTTCTGACAGCCACTTTTCAAAGGCATGTAGCTGTGAACTTCTAAATAATGGGATAAAGCACATTGCTCTTCCATACAAGAGTTTAGAACTTAAAATGCAAGATGAGCTTTGATTCATTCTCTTTTCAACTGGAAGGGATCTCTTTTTACATTCTATATAAAAATGTCCTATCTTAAATTGGAGACTCAAGGGTGGATTTTTTTGTCCTCTGTTGAAGGGCTGCTAATCTGCAGATTAGATTAGCTTCTTTAATCTGAAAAAGGGCTACCGAAGAGCATTACTCTGGATCTAGTGCTAGAAAACTCACTTAGATTGTGAGATGTGTCTCTATGTTTACTTCATGGACCATGTAACTGAAATATAGAAGCAGTTCTGGGAGGAATAGTTACTAATTCAATCTCATCCTAAAGAAGGATTTGAACCTGAATCTTCTACTGCCTCAGTAAGTGGAGTGCCTGCTGGGGTTCATTGCCACAAAAACTTAGGCAGAGGGAACACTGCCTCCCAAATCCCATCACCAGTTCAGGTTCATAGACCCTTACTGGGATCTGATCTTAGATCATATCTTTATTTTTTACCTGCTTACATTGGACAAAATAAAGACAGCAGACTGAAGAAGACTGTAACTGACGAAAAAAGGACTGATTTTTTTGGAAGGGGATATTGAAAAAAATAAACATGTTATGCAAAGAAATTGTGTGAATTTGTGTTAAAGAACAAATCAGCTGCATCACTCTGGGTAGGACAGCATGGAATCTCCTGCATTCTCAGTGAAAAATAACAGTGTAAAGATCTAAAATATTATTATTAAGCATTACCTGTCCAGTAATTCTCCTCTGAGCCAACTGGAAGTCATATGCTTTCATTAATCTTGCATAACAGTAAAGCTAGTACGTGCTGCTTCTCAGCTAGGCTTCTGAGCATGCCTTGGGTGCCAGAATGGCTGCACTGCTTTAAAGTGTAGGCGGAGCAAGCTCCTCCTGTTGTGAGGTGGGCAGAGTGAGGTCACACCTTGCCCACCACATGTTGCTCTAGGGAAAAATTGCCTAGCTTTAGTTTAACCTCATTATGTCACAGAAACACCAGAGGTCAGTTCTCAGCCGTGGAGGAACCAACTGTATTTTGGTATTGTCTTGACTGCTTGTCTTGGAAAAGGTAGGGTAGAAGTATAGGAGGTGCTGAAGCACGATGTAGCTGAATATGCTAGCCCAGCTAGAGGAAGGGATTAACTGTGCCACTAAGGACAAGAAGGCTGCAGTACGGAGATTCTGCTCTTTGGAAATCAAGCATTCAGCTACCTATTTAGAGCCATGACAGATGAAGATACTTACCTTATTATGGGAAAATGATATTTTTACTTAGTTTTCATTTAAGATCCATCTAAGTGGGTCTATCTGCAACGCACCTTCCTTATAAACTGAAAGTTTGGGCAGACTTCTCTTTGTTCACTGTCCAAATATGCACAGATCATAGGATCTCTCTGTTGGGGCTTTACTCTTTATCTTCAGATTTTAACTAGAGCTGATCATGTCATGATACAGACATGAATCCTTCTACTAATGCTCATGTCTGTCAGTCAGTTTAAAGTTCCGTCTACATATAAAGGTGTCTGTATCCTAGTATAAATAAGGCTCTGTATAAAATACTTTGAATTTATGTGAGCTGGCTTCATTTTCAACATATTGCTCTGTGTTAGTCTTTCTGTCTTTAAAGCAGATTTTTACCTTTCTGTCTACTGTTCTGAGCTCACTGTCTGGTATTTAAATATTGCCTAAATAAATGAATTCACATTCCGGTGTGCTAACATAGAATAGTGTTCGTG